GTAGCGGATATATACATGCATGCATCTTGCATTACTCGTAAAGTGAGGAATGACTATGTACCCTGGATTACGGCAGAAATAAAAAACTCAATGTACTATAGAGATTCTCTTAAGAAAAAAGCTGTTAAAACTAAGTCTAAATATGCACATGACGCGTACAAAAGAGCCCGGAATAATGTCAATAAAATGATCAAACACACAAAGGCAACCTATTACATGAATATATCATATAACCAATATAAGTCTAATCCGAAAGAAATGTGGAAAAAAATAAGTGATCTAACAAACAAGAAAACCAAAAGTACAAATATTTCTGAGATAAAAGAGACTGGAGTAATGTGGCCCTGATCTATCTGATAAATTACCAGAACCGGATTATCTACCAGAATCGTATGTAAATCCCATAAATTTCGAGTTCTATTTTCAAACAATAACCGAAACAGAAGTTTTTAAATTATTGACTACACTTAAAACATCAAAGGCCACGGGACATGATAGAATTTCGGCTAAACTGTTGAAGGACTCTGCGGATGTAATTACAAAGACGTTGACTCAAATATTTAACAAATCAGTACTTTTTAAGGTAAATTTCCAGATGATATGAAAATGGCAATTATTTCTCCTATTTAGAAAACAGGAAGTAAAACGGAGACCACGAACTATAGACCAGTGTCCGTGCTCTCCGTTGTCGCGAAAATTTTTGAAAAAATTATCTCGCAGAACCTTTCTAATTATTTGGAAACAACTGGAGTAATAGTGAACCAGCAATTTGGTTTCAGATAGAAACACTCCACACAAACAGCGCTCCTAAATGTTACAAACAAATGGTATTTAAATATAGATAAAGCTATTTGAATGGGGTTATATTCCTTGACTTAAAGAAAGCATTTGATTGCGTAAATCATAGCATTTTGTTAAAAAATTACAACTCTATGGTATAACTGGAGTGGCCTATAGCTGATTTAAATCGTATTTAACAAATCGAACCCAAATGTGCAAGATCGGAAAAACTAGGTCGCAACAATACACCATACGTTGTGGAGTACCCCAAGGATCTAATTTGGGACCATTACTGTTTCTCCTATATATAAACGACCTATACCAAACTGTTTATCGTACACATCTGCGAATATGTTCGCAGATGATGATACTGATATAACAACAAAAGGTTCCAACGTAGAGGGCATTCAAATGCGTTTAAATGATAATCTAGAACATATTCATCAATGGTTATTGGCGTCATCTGAACCAAGTGCTACCCCGGTTCGCGGTACGAAAGCTAAGCGTAATACCGTAATCGTCGGTGATTCGATTATCAAGTATGTTAAAGGCTGGGAATTGTCCAACGCGTCCGAGCGCGTTACGGTTAAGTCATTCTCGGGGGCGACGGTTGATGACATGAAGGACTTTATCAAGCCAATACTGCGAAAAAACCCAGAGAAACTAATACTGCATATAGGAACTAATGACCTACGTAGCACGGACTTAAAAGTTGTTGCTGATAAAGTATCCAATTTGGTACAGACGATCTATCAGCAGTGTCCTGATATCAAGGTCATTGTTTCTGGAATCCTTACTAGAAAAGATGTCAATGGCATTGCAGACAGGGTAAGACAAACAAATTCCTTGATTAAATCCTCATGTTGTGAAAATGGTTGGGCATTTATAGAGAACTCCAATATAAAGGACTCTCACCTGAATTCCAGAGGACTACACTTAAATCCCTCTGGTAGTTTGCTATTACAAAACAATTTTAAATTATTATTTAGAAATTGACTATATGTAAATGTGAGTGCTAATTCTCAAAATTCTACATCCAACCCATTTCCTAATTGTGCAAATTCTAGGGGGTTTAAGATGGCTTTACTTAATATAGCCAGCTTGCCTAAACATGTTGAGGAATTACGCATATCTAAACTCGTTTCAAATTTAGATTTATTTGCTCTAAATGGAACCAGACTAGACAATACCATTTCGGATGGCTTAGTAAATATCAGTGGTTACGATATAATCAGGAAAGATCGATCTCGTCGAGGGGGTGGTGTATGTATATATCTCCGTACTTCTATTAACTATAAAATTCGAAATGATCTGGTTCCTGAGGGTATCGAAGCGGTCTGTTTGGAGATTTGCAAACCAAATAGTAAAAGTTTTATTGTTGCATTTGTTTATCGCCCACCAGATTCCACTTCTGAGTTCTTTGTTGATTTTGAAAAGATGATCAAATCGATTGATGACGAAAACAAAGAACTGCATATCTTAGGGGATTTAAATTGTAATTTGCTTAATACTGTTTCTGATCAACCAACTAAAACCTTGAAAGCTATATTAGAAACATACCAGTTATCTCAACTTATTACTGAGGCGACACGAATAACAAATATTTCTTGTACACTTATAGATCACTATATAACATCTATGCCAGAGAAAATTAATTCGACTGGCGTAATTCATACGGGAATTAGTGATCACAGCTTAATTTATGGTATAAGAAAAATAAATCCCATTGTGTCTACACGCAATATGACCAGGAATGTTGAGGTCAGAAACATGAAAAGGTTTAACCATAACTCTTTTAGAGAGGATCTTCTAGCTCAGCCATGGGAGCAAATTGTTCTGGAATCAAATACTGATTCCATGTGGGCCCTTTGGAAAAAGTTATTTTTGGAAGTCTTGGATAAGCATGCCCCTGTTCAGCGTATTAGAAAAAGAAAATCTGGCGTTCCGTGGCTGACTGGGGAAATTAAAAAAATGATCTTTGAGAGAGATAAATTAAAGCGTGAGGCAATGGTAACTGGCACCCATGCTGCTTGGGATAAGTACAAATCAACTAGGAATAAGGTCAATATTGCCCTAGACAAGCTAAAACAGATTATCTTCGCACTAAAATATCAAATCAAAATAATAATCCAAAAGAGGCTTGGAAGACAATCAATAACTTACTCGGTCGTTCTCCAGGTAACACTGTTGTTAATGAATTAAAATTTAATGATACCAAAATTACCTCACCTGAAGAAATTGCCAATGCTTTTAATACATATTTTACTGACATTGGCCCTAACTTAGCTAGTTCTATTGATGATACTGACGTTACGTTTGATCGTTTCGTTATAAACCAGCTACATCAAAAATGACACGCTTTAAGCCGATTTCACATACTAAAGTAGTCAAGCTTCTAAATGGTATATCCAATTCGAAAGCAACTGGTCTTGATAAAATATCTGGAAAGATCTTAAAAACTGCAGCCCCTACTATTGCCTTATCACTCACACACATCTTTAATCATGCTATCATAACAAGCTGTTTTCCATATGAATGGAAAGCTGCTAGACTTCTACCACTTCATAAAAAGGGTCCACGAGATCTCCCAGAAAACTATAGGCCAATCTCAATCTTACCTGCAATAAGTAAGGTTATGGAAAGAATTATGTATGATCAGATCTATGAATACCTTAACGTCAATTCGATCCTTTCTGAACACCAATTTTGTTTCCGCAAATCTCATTCAACTGCTTCGGCTCTTTTGGATTGCACGAACAGTTGGTACGTTAATATGGACCGCAAAATGTTTAATTTGGTTGTATTATTGGATTTAAAAAAGGCCTTTGATACTGTAAACCATGATATTTTGGTGCGAAAACTTGAGCTATACGGTATCAATGGCAGTGCCTTAACCATGATGCAATCATACTTGTCTGATCGCAAACAGAAATGCCAACTAGGAGACGTAATGTCATCTGAGCGGCATGTGACATGCGGTACTCCGCAGGGATCCATCCTTGGTCCACTTCTCTTCCTCTTATATATAAATGATCTTCCAGAATGTCTTCATGAAGCTGCCCCTCGGCTATTTGCCGATGACACCAATCTTACGGTAGCTGGTGAGTCAATAGAGGAAGTTGAGTTGGCCATGAATAATGATCTCCTTAGTGTACATACCTGGCTTTTAGCCAATAAACTGAGTCTCAATGCTTCAAAAACCGAATTTATACTTATTGGTTCAAATCATAGATTAACGAACCTTACTAATCAACCAAATATAAAAATAGATCAAGACAAAATTAAGCAAGTTCATCATAGTAGACTACTTGGGGTTCAAATTGATGAAAAATTGTCTTGGAACAAGCATGTTGAAAGCGTGGCCAAGAAGGTTACTTCCGGTGTAGGAGCTTTAAGAAGAATACGTGACTTTGTCGATAGGGAAACCTTGATCTTTATCTACAATGCTTTAGTTCGCCCTCATTTCGATTATTGCAGTGAGGTATGGGATACCTTGGGCATTGGCCTTTCAACTCGACTTCAAAAACTGCAGAATAGAGCGGCGAGAATAGTAATGAGTATGACAAATGATACCCCGGGATTAGAAGCAATTGCTGCCTTAGGGTGGGAAACTCTTGAGTCTCAACGAGCTAAGTCTAAAGCAGTACAAATGTACAAAGTTTTAAATGATTTGTCCCCAAATGCACTTGTTAATCTTTTTATGCGTAAAAGTGATGTATCAAGCAAAATATCAAAGCAAAATATCAGCGTCTATGATATACCTTGGGTGTCGAGCAAGTTAAAACAATTTATATCAAAGAGACAAACATCTCTCGTCAGGTATGGGAAGTATTCCCATTTCTTTAAATTTTGGCGTAATAAAGTCCAAGCTGAGATAAGATCGCGTAAAGAGTCCTATTACAAAAATAAAGTACATAATATGAAAGACTGTATCTAAATGGTGGAAAGAAATTAAAAAGCTTCTAGCAAAACGGAATGGTGTGAGCAACTAATGGGTGAGGCAACCGGTACAATAGAGCTGCAAATTTGCAACCAATTCCTTGGGATTCAAAGAAAGAGGAGGTTTTCGCAATGTTGGATAAAATATGCATTATAGAAACAAGCAAAACTTCTTGTCAACTTCATGCAACATGGCGGCGGTGACATCATGCAGGTGAAAACAATTTATCGTTCAAAACTGATGAAAAATCATAAAACAACATTTGCAATAACAAAATTGCGATTTATTTTAAACTGCAAGTACAAAGTTAACAGTTATAAATTCTACAAGGAACGTTTCGTATGCTTGACTGCATGTCATCGTTTGAACGATCTACAAAGTGACTATATTTCTAATGTCTACTTGTCCTTATTACTTTGGCCAATAGTATGTTGTCGTACATCCAATCACCTAGAAATATAATTAAAATATGCGTTTGTATAACTCGCAAACAACAGTGCAAAAATATTTCATAAAAATGCAGTAAGTCTTGTGTATCATAAAAATCGGTAAGTCTTGTGTATTATTAATAAGGAATAAGATTGTTTCCCATGAAATTTGGTTAAAAAAGCACCCCATTAACCTAACAATATTTCAATCCATTTATTGTCTATTCATTAATTTCCTTAAATATCTTACTGTTCTCCATATCAATCACTCATTATTTCAACTTTATTAGCATTCATTCATACAAAGGGGACTATTAATTAGAGTTCGCTTTGCTTTTCTGGGTTGTCCGAAATGCTTGAAAGCCAAATGATCACTACAGATGACAGATGACTTTTTATGGGAGGAGGATTTGATTGTGGGCTGAAAACGCTTAGTAATTTATTTCCTGGAAGGGTGTTCCTGAGGAGGGTTATTTCTGAGTAGAGGCCTAATACAGAATTTATGCTATACTGTTTTTCAATATATTATTGGAAAGCTTACTTTAACATGAGCAACGAAGTAAACAAGCTGATGGACAGTTTGGGATCATGTAACTCGTATTTACTGAACACTGCTGATTGTTAGCCCAATCCAAACAGTACGCGTTCTTATTCCAAGAACAACACGACTTTTTACAGTTACTAAGCATCCAGGTACTAATAGCATCAGCTCTGGCACAATCTCCAGCAAGAGCACGGTAAACACACATTGCATCTTTATCAACACAGCCTGTATGAAAACAATTATAACAATTTAAATACAATAAATATGTCGCTTGGTCGTCGACAAAGATTGGTTCGCACGGGATGTGGTACGGGAGTTTGACAAAAGTCCCGAGGAAATGGAAAGTATCATTGTATATATGGCTTGGCTGTGGCTGAAAAGTATTTGGCAAAGCAAAAGCATATAATGTCCGAAGTTTCAGAAAGATATTAATCTGCCAAAGATATACTTATAATAACTATATACTTAATTGTTACTAGTCAATAGATGATTCCCCTTATTACGTTTCTAATTCGTACCGCTTTGCATTGTGGTTATAGTGGTATCACTGATAAAGATAGCGGCCTCCAATAAAAATATTGAATGTTTTAGCGAATATTTTGCTGTTGGCTATCGTGCACCTGACCCTAGCTTTTTTAAAAGTTCTTGCACGGGTCAGAACAAAAAATAAGCCATCTTAAATACCTGCGATACCACTATAACCACAATGCAAAGCGCTACGAAAACGTAATAAGAGGGCCCCCTATATCTCTTCACAATATGCTTTCACGTAAAAATATTTTGCCTTTTCACGAGTCACAGATTAAGAAAATCATCGACCACGTTTCACGGCTAAGTAAAATAAGCCCTTCACGCTTCACGCAAAAAGTATAGGGGGCCTGATCACGTTTCACGGTTAAGTAAAACAAGCCCTTCACGCTTCACGCAAAAAGTATAGGGGGCCCTCTAATAAGGGGAATCATCTATTGTTAAAAAAACATTTATATAATCAATAATAGTAGGCCTAGCAGTTAAAAGCAATGTTTGTCTTGTAGTCATGTCGTTGTTTTAATCAGGTATATGGCATATGCAGTAGGTATATTTGTGATTCTAAGAAAGCATTCTTAGTCTTTTGGACTGAGATGAGGTAGGTTGTGACAGAACAAACTATAAATTACCACGTCACCAGTTATATGACAATCTAGGAGAACGAATTGATGGTCGTGTTGAATAACCACAATTAAATTTAAATAAAAAAAGTTAATAAAACCGAACCTGGTTTTGTGACCGACTAATAGCTGGGAAAAGTGCTCAATGGCAGAATCCCAGCAGTGGACGTTGCATGCATGTCACAAAATGTCCTTTTGTCAAATTTTCACCAGTAATTTAGCCCGCCGCACACGAGAGCAACTTGTTGAGCTAACCGCCTCGCGTGGCAGCTAGCTCAGCTATGTAATGTCACCGCACACGTTAGACTATACGTTAGACCCAGGGTTCCATACTGGGGCCCCTACTTTTTCTGGTGTACGTCAACGACATGCCCGATCATGTTACACAAGGATCAACTATAGCCCTTTATGCGGATGACTCAAAACTTTACCGCACTATTGATTCTCCAAGTACATCAATCTCCCTACAGGCTGATCTTTATTCGCTACAGGACTGGAGTCGTGTTAATGCTATGGATTTTAGTACATCCAAGTGCAAAGTTTTGCATATGTCACGAAAAAAGTCTGCTGGGTCTCTTCTGCGCGAATATTATTTATCTGGGCATAAATTGGACGCTCCTGTTGAAACACGAGATCTTGGTGTCACTGTTACAAGAGATTTATCATGGGGGCACACATTGAACAGATGTGTGCTAAGGCAAACAAAACTCTTGGCCTAGTAAAGCGTGTCTCCAAAGACTTCCACGACCGTTCCATTAGACTGCTCCTATACGTGTCATTAGTTAGACCTCTACTAGAGTACGCGAGTAGTCTATGGTCACCATACACAGTAAAGCACAAGAAACTTATCGAAAATATACAGCGTCGTGCCACAAAGTTTATTTTGGACTACCCAAGCAATGTAAACTATACGGAAAGATTAGCCATGTTGAGCATACTCCCATTGGAACATCGCAGAGAAACAATAGATCTAATTCTCCTTTTTAAGTCTAAGACTCGTCTTATTAACGCTAACCTCCAGAACTTATTACAACCAGCCTCGTCTGGTTATGCTACGCGAAACTTTGATGAAGCAAATTATCGCTTTTATTCATCCCATCGCCAGAATTACTTTATAAATTCATATTTCCCTAGGACAGTTAAGATATGGAATGAGCTCCCTCATTCCATAAAACATGCATCCAGTCTTACCGAATTCAAAAACCTCCTTCTTCGTTATTACAGAAATAAGCTATCTTTGTATTGTCCACCGTAAACTATACTCTTGTGTATTGTGTTCACAAGGTATTTTATATTTTTGTAGTATATAAAGGGGGAGGATTGTCAATTGGGACGTTAGTCCTGTTTTCCTCTCCTGTCACTCCGTCTTTGTGTGATTGTTAGTTCAGGTGTTGCATGCAAGTCCTGTATTTATTTGTAATTTGTAATTCGCAATGTAATGTAATGTGACATATTTCATTAAACTAAACTAAACTAATTGACAAAACATTTGCATTTTCCTCCACTTTGTTCTAGTCTATGGTTTGTCATTGGCTAATTGATTCAAACAGCTCAGCACTTATAGCTCAAGCCCGCCGCACACGAGAGCAACTTGCTTAGCTAACCGCCTCGCGAGGCGGATAGTTTTCGTGAGGATTTGACCTCTCGAGGCCTTGAGGAAAATATCGATCGTGTTTGATAGGAAAAAATCTCAGCGTCTGCGGATGTTGTGAGCTAAGTGCTGTTTGAATCAATTAGCCAATGACAAATACCGTTTTTGCTAATTTTGAAGAATGCGTTAAAAAATGGACGTATACAGAGATTAAGGAGATTATACTTATAGGAGATTTTAACTGTAATTGGTATCCAGAAAATAGTAGAACAAGCTCGCAAACAGATAAACTTACAGATATTGCGACTACATACCAATTTAAGCAGTTAATTACGGGGCACACTCGGATTACTGATAGCTCAGCAACGCTAATTGATTTAGCATTTACTGACAAGCCTGAAAATGTTCTCAAATCAGGCATAGAACATGTTGAAATCAGTGACCACAGTCTTATTTTTATACAAAGGAAAATTTCAATACCGCGCAAACAGCCAAAAATAATAGTTACAAGGCAATATAATAAGTTGATTTAACTATCAAGAAGCAGCGTTTAAAAACGACTAGTATAAGTAAAATTCTGTCTACGTTGATAAATACTGACAACCCTGACATTATGTGGGAAGATTGGAAAACAAAATTTCTAGCTGTAGCGGATATATACATGCATCTTGCATTACTCGTAAAGTGAGGAATGACTATGTACCCTGGATTACGGCAGAAATAAAAAACTCAATGTACTATAGAGATTCTCTTAAGAAAAAAGCTGTTAAAACTAAGTCTAAATATGCACATGACGCGTACAAAAGAGCCCGGAATGATGTCAATAAAATGATCAAACACACCTATTACATGAATGCTTTTAACCAATATGAGTCTAATCCGAAAGAAATGTGGAAAGAAATAAGTGATCTAACAAACAAGAAAACCAAAAGTACAAATATTTCTGAGATAAAAAAGAATGGAGTAATGTGGCCCTGATCTATCTGATAAATTACCAGAACCGGATTATCTACCAGAATCGTATGTAAGTCCCATAAATTCCGAGTTCTATTTTCAAACAATAACCGAAACAAAAGTTTTTAAATTATTGACTACACTTAAAACATCAAAGGCCACGGGACATGATAAAATTTCGGCTAAACTGTTGAAGGACTCTGCGGATGTAATTACAAAGACGTTGACTCAAATATTTAACAAATCACTACTTTTTAAGGTAAATTTCCAGATGATATGAAAGTGGCAATTATTTCTCCTATTTAGAAAACAAGAAGTAAAACGGAAACCACGAACTATATAGACCAGTGTCCGTGCTCTCCGTTGTCGCGAAAATTTTTGAAAAAATTATCTCGCAGCAGCTTTCTAATTATTTGCAAACAACTGGAGTAATAGTGAACCAGCAATTTGGTTTCAGATAGAAACACTCCACACAAACAGCGCTCCTAAATGTTACAAACAAATGGTAATTAAATATAGTTAAAATACTCAATAATTCATAAACCTTGTGGCAAATCATGTCAGCCATAATATGTCACGTGGAGTGACTTTATATCTGATAAAACACATGTGGCATTATATAATTGTTCATCTTAATTAGCATGATTATATTATGGTTCATTCTAATTAGTATTCTTTTGTAGTCGTATTTTAAGCTATTCAAAACACTCGTTGTTGTGTTTTATCAGATATAAAACGCTCGGCTGCGCCTCGCGTTTTATATCTGATAAAACACTCCTACTCGTGTTTTAAATAGTACATAAAGCTATTTGAATGGGGTTATATTCCTTGACTTAAAGAAAGCATTTGATTGCGTAAATCATAGCATTTTGTTAAAAAATTACAACTCTATGGTATAACTGGAGTGGCCTATAGCTGATTTAAATCGTATTTAACAAATCGAACCCAAATGTGCAAGATCGGAAAAACTAGGTCGCAACAACACACCATACGTTGTGGAGTACCCCAAGGATCTAATTTGGGACCATTACTGTTTCTTCTATATATATAAACGATCTATACCAAACTGTTTATCGTACACATCTGCGAATATGTTCGCAGATAATACTGATATAACAACAAAAGGTTCCAACGTAGAGGACATTCAAACGCGTTTAAATGATGATCTAGAACATATTCATCAATGGTTATTGGCCAATAAATTGACTTTAAATAAAGCTAAAACAGAATACATGATAATTGGTTCGCGACAGAGACTATCAAGGATTGAAACTGACCCTGTAGATGATCAACTTTTGTGGAAAAAACAAGTGGAAACCACTGTATCCAAGGTGTCTAAAGGTATAGGTATGCTAATATAATTGACAAAATCATTTGCATTTTCCTCCATTTTGTTCCAAGTCACATGAAGAAACCATGGTTTGTCAATGGCTAATTAATTCAAACAACTCAGCATTTAGCTCACAACATCCGCAGACGCTGAGATTTTTTCCTCGCGAGGCGAAAACATCAAACACGATAGATATTTTCCTCAAGGCCTCGAGAGGTCAAATCCTCGCGAGTTGCTCTCGTGTGCGGAAAGTTTTCGTGAGGATTTGACATCTCGAGGTCTTGAGGAAAATATCGATCGTGTTGATATTTTTCGTCTCGCGAGGAAAAAATCTCAGCGTCTGCGGATGTTGTGAACATCCGCACTCCACAGGTGCTGAGATTTTATCCTCGCGAGGCGAAAAATATCAAACACGATCGATATTTTCCTCAAGGCCTCGAGAGGTCAAATCCTCACGAAAACTATGCGCACATGAGAGCAACTCGCGAGGAAAAAACCTCAGCGTCTGCGGATGTTGTGAGCTAAGTGCTGAGCTGTTTGAATCAATTAGCCAATGACAAACCATGGTTTCTTCATGTGACTTTGTCAATTATAGCGTTGTTGAGTAGTAGTCTTCCCAACGTGTGCGGTGACAATACATAGCTGAGCTAAAGGCCGCCGCACACGAGAGCAAATTGCTGAGCTTAAAAATCAGTAAAAGTTTAGAAAGCAAACAAGTCAAAAATCGGAAAAGGCCGTTTTGCATGGGGAGGCTGAACAGTATTCTAAATCATAAATTGTAGTTTTGGCAGTGGCTGTTAGGTTTGACGATTTCGCTCATTTTCTAAGTAATATTTAAACACGACGTTTTTAATTTTTCATATTAAAAGCGTGCGAGCACTAATATATGTATTTTGAATGGCATCAAACACGACTATACAAATGACCGGCTGACGTCTGTTGGCACTGTCTTCTGGAAGGTTGGGCGATATTTTCAATCGCGATTATCGTATCGAAGGTAGAAATTTCAGAGAAGATATATCGAAATTATCGTCATGCTCGATGACTACTGTGATATTGCTTCGCATGTGTATATATATAGCTTTTATAAAATCCTAAAAAATTCTTTTAATTCCTAGAAAATATAGTTTTTAAAAGAATTAAAACTATTTCCTGAATTAAATACGAATTTAATACGATAAAATGAAATTGCAGGCAAAACAGCGAATGAAATTGCAGGCGAACCAACGGAGACAAAGTAGACACTGCATAGACAGTACTGGTTTATGAACGGTATAAATATTAGACTAGAAAAGCCTTCAAATTGCTTAAATTTGTTGTTTATTTGTTTTTAGCAAGATTATATACAAGCTTACTATCCCTTGATATTAATTAAAACTGAAAAATGTGGTCATTGTTTTTATTTCATTTATCGCGATATTATCGAATATCGTGATAATTTCCATGACAATAATCGTGAGATTATTTTTTAAATATCGCCCAAGCCTAGTCTTCTGTTGTTCACAGAACACGGTTTAGTTTGCTGTAAAACAAATCAATTCTTGAAAAGACATATAATTATTCCCTTTTCTACAGCTATAGCCTATATTGAATCGTTGAAGTGGTTGAACCCGCGCGCGTTTAAAAAGTATATATATACTAACCAGCTGACTGTTTTACAACATCGCAACATACCATTTGCAGACCAAGCAAAAACAGAAATATGACTGAAACTTTGCTTTTACCAAACGCCATTTCTGATGTATTTATTTCGTAGTTATTGAAACGGAATCTTCACTTTTAGTGTGTTCTTGAGTTATGAGCGACTGATGCTGTATGGGTTATGGTGTTCTCTATATATATACCTTAAAATACTCATTAAAAATTCATAAACCTTGTGGCAAATCATGTCAGCCATAATATGTCATGTGGAATGACTTTATATCTGATAAAAGTCACCTTCATTGGTATTCTTTATATAATTCTTCATCCTAATTAGGGCCGGACCATTAGAAATCCAGGAATCCTGCAGAAACATGAGACTAAAAAAAAATCCGGTGCCGCAAAAATTTTATGCCCCCCCCCCCCTCCCGTTATTTCTAATGGTCCGCCCCTTAATCCAGCCGCACACGAGAAAAACTTGCTGAGGTTTAGTTTTCGTTTAGGATAGTTTTCGTGAGGATTTGACCTCTCGAGACCTTGAGGAAAATATCTTTGATATTTTTCGCCTCGCGAGGAAAAAATGTCAGCGTCTGCGGATGTTGTGAGCTAAGTGCTGAGCTGTTTGAATCAATTAGCCAATGACAAACCATGCATGGTTTCTTCATGTGACTTGGAACAAAATGGAGGAAAATGCAAATGATTTTGTCATTTATGTTGTTGTTGAGTAGTTTTCCCAACGTGTGCGGTGAAAATACATGGCTGAGCTAGGTGCCTCGCGAGGTAACCTGAAGTTCAGGCCCTAATCACAGAATAGGGCCTGACACAAAACCTATCTAAACTGTGGGATTCCCGTCCACCTGGTGGACGGGAAATCTGATTGGTTGATCAGCATCATGAAGGATTTTGATTGGTTGCAAGTTTACATAAACAACTGTTTTAAAAATAGCTCGATCAAGGCGACAATTAATAATATAAAGGTCAAACGCACGTAACAAATTCCATTATCGATTTCTTCGAATTTCTTTTCTTTTATGCTTTATGGCAGAAAATAAATCAAACAAACAGTATTTTGAAAGGGCTTCATCAAAATCTTTGACGAATTTTGGACACACGACGCTGAAAGAACAGCCAAACTAGTCATGTATTCGAAAGCTTGTTGTTGACAGCCAACTTAGATGTTCTGCCAACTGGCTTCGCCAGCAAAAGTCTTATTTTTAATATCAGGTCCTACCGGCGTTGTTTTCTGAGCTACATCGCCTTCTTCGTGGTACGATTGAGAATTTCATTGTTGCTGTTGTTAGCCCGTTAGAGTATATCCGCGTCCAGCAAGTTGAGACCTTGAGAAAGCTTGGCAGTCAAGCCGTGCACAGAACTGACTAATTAAATCTTTGTTTGCTGTTCGCCTGTTCGGTTAAATAGAGAAACTGACTCTTAATTATATAAAAGTACCTTGAATTTTTAAGTTTAATTAAAAAGCAAAATGCTCTGCGGACATGTTCATGAGAATATAAATTTTTGTGTAACGAAATCTACAACACTTGTCAATCATATTGCATGTGTGTCTAAAAATAACATGTGGGCGTCCCACGGTCTAGACAGGTTTTGTGCCAGGCCCTATTTCAAATTAGGGCCTGAACTTCAGGT